TGTTTAGCCTGGAGAAGAGGAGGCTGAGGGGAGCCCTCATCGCTCTCTACAACTACCTCAAGGGAGGTTGTAGTGAGGTGGGGATTGGTCTCTTCTCCCAAGTAACAAGTGATAGGATGAGAGGAAATGGCCTCAAGCTGCACCAGGGCAGGTTTAGGCTGGATATTAGGAAAAACTTCTTCACCCAAAGGGCTGTCAGGCCCTGGCACAGGCTGCCCAGGGAAGGGGTTGAGTCCCTATCCCTGGAGGTATTTAAAAGACGGGTAGACGTGGTGCTTAAGGACATGGTTTAGTGCTGGACTTGGCAGTGATAGCTTAACGGTTGGACTCGATGATCTTAAGGGTCTTTTCCAACCTTAACAATTCTATGATTCTATGATTCTGTGATTCTTATAAACCCCCTTTAAGTAGTGAAAGGCTGCAATAATGTCTCCCCACAGCCTTCTCTTCTCCAGGCTGAACAACCCCAGCTCTTTCAGCCTTTCCTCATAGCAGAGGTGTTCCATGATCTGGACCCTCTCCAACAAACAGGTCTATGTCTTTCTTGTACTGAGGACCCCAGAACTGGACACAGTGCTCCAGGTGGGGTCTCATCAGAGCAGAGCAGAGGGGCAGAATCCCCTCCCTCGACCTGCTGGCCACGCTTCTTTTGATGCAGCCCAGGATACAGTTGGCTTTCTGGGCTGCAAGAGCACATTGCTGATTCATGTCCAGCTTTTTTTCTATCAGTACCCCCAAGTCCTTCTCAGCAGGGCCACACTCAATCAAAATGACGCTGCCAGTCAGAACACAGCCACCAAATCAGGCACCCCAAGGGAACACAGGGGCAGAGGTGTTGAATCCCCCTGTTTTTCCACAAATGTTTGGCTTGCCACACTAACAACACTACTGGACTTTCCCAGGTTGAGACACTTATGGGGTTGTTTACCTGAGAAGCAGAAAAGAGGGAGGTAGGTTTTTGGGTAGTTCTACTGAGTTTACATGCCTGTGCTCCGCACAGTTGGCTCTTTGGATGCCCACCCACTACTTTAGGGGTCCTTAAGGACAAGGTCTTGTGAATTCAGGCTGCAGCTATGATTGCAATTTCCATGGGGCTGCATGCCCCAGCAGAGAGCAGTGCAGGGGAAGTCTAGGAAGTGATCATCTGCTCAGCTGTCAGTAGTCCCCAGCTGCAGCCTGCAGTGCTCAAGCTTGAGACAGGTGGTCTCTGAAATCTTCTAAACTTTAGTTGCCACAGTGTTAGAAAGGAAGGCTTGCTAGCAGAGCTCCCGGGAAGTGAAGGTCACTGGGAAGTCCTGTGGGTTGACAGTGGTCAACATGTACTGTCTGAGCATGGTCTTGGCTTCCAAAGGGACACTCACACTTCTGGGAAGTTGCATTTAGCAATTTGTCAAATTGCATGACAGCATTATCCAAAGGGCTTCACCTTACCTGGCTTCCAGGTCCAACCTCACCAACAGCCAGAGCTTGTCAGGCAGTCTGGCCTGCTGAATGGCTCTACCATGGCAGCAGTGTCTCTGTGCTGAGCTTTGCTTGTTCAAGCCTATCTCCAAGACCACTGCTACTCTTAGATGACTCCAGAATCCTGTATTGGATCTGGCTGAGATGGAGTTAATTTTCCCCATAGCAGCCCTCATAGTGCTGTGCTTTGTATTGGTAGATAGAAAGGTGTTGATAACATGCCCGTGTTTTGGTTACTGCTGAGTGGTGCTTGCACAGCATCAAGGCTCTTTCTCCAACATTCCCCCCTCACCAGTAGGCTGGGAGTGGGAAAGATCTTGGGAGGGGTCATAGCCAGGACAGCTGACCCAAACTGACCAAAGGGATATTCCATACCATGTGATGTCTGCTCAGCAATAAAAGCTAAGAGAAAGGGGGGGAGGAGCATTCATTATTACAATGTTTGTCTTCCAGAGCAACCACTACACCAACTGAAGCCCTGCTTCCCAGGAAGTGGCTGGACATCACCTGCTGATGGGAAGTAGAGAATGAATCTTTTGTTTTCCTTTGCTTCCATGCATGGCTTTTGGTTTTGCTTTATTAAACTGCCTCTATGTTGACCCACAAGTTTTTTCCATCTTATTTTCTCCCCGCCCTGTCCTGCTGAGGAGGGGAGTGATAGAGCAGCTGGTGGGCACCTGGCATCCAGCCAAGGTCAACCCACCACAAATCCCCATCCACAACCACATCTCCAAAGCTTCAGGTGGCGCTGGGTAAAGCCTAGATGACACACAGCATTTCCTGAGTATCCCTGTTAAATGTAATGATGACAGGGCTACTCTATACAAGCATGAATTTGCTTTACAGACCCTGCAGTGTCCTCTGCCGTGGAAGCTTGTGGATGTGAAGCAGGGTGCAGAGTTTCCCTTTGCAACATAGTACATACTTTCTTTGATAATCTTGTAGTGAAGTAATTGGTGCAAACCACACTGCAGCAAAGGTAA